AGTACAGATATTAGAGAAAACACATTAAAAAGTTAGTATAATGAACTGATAACCCACCAATTAGAGATAATCACTATTAGTATTATTTATTTCATTATAATTTGGAATGAAATAAAATTCCTATATTTATAATAATGACATTGAAGTCATAGTCTACTTAAGTTTTTATTAAAATTTTTATTCATAGCATTATATTTTACCATATTATTAAATTCTATAATGACATAATAGTATTCCACATAAAAATACACATTTTAAAATCACCTGTCCATTTTCAGTAGTTTGTTTTCAATTACTTTTGTTATTGTATATATGTTGTGATAAATATCTCTGGGTGCTTCTTTATTTTCTTAGAATCAGAAAAACTTTAATAGATCAAAGGGAAGTAACATCTTTTAAGGCTTCTAATAAATATGGTTTAAACTTGAATTAAAAAATTTATCTTGCTAAATAAGTCTCTAATTATTTCACTGTAAAACATAATAAAACAAATCTCTCAAATTATTTGTAGTAATGCCTAAACATTTAGTTTTTGAGTTACAAGAATTTAAGACAATTTGAAATAATATCAGTATAGAACTGAATATAATTTTTCAGTAAACAACTAAAACATCAAAAATTGTATTTCAAATGAGATCTTTTTTCTTACATGATGAAAAGGATATCTCATGGGGCAAGTTATCACTGAACTTTGGAAAATGGTATAAATTAATTTTTTAAAGAAATATTAATATGCTGGCTACATTTCCAAATGTTCATAAAGTCAAGAGCAGAGATATTTTAATTGCTTAGAATAGACACTACTAGGACTGTTCCCAAATATATTTGCCCAGATTGAACTGGGAACTATTTCCCAGCATGCTCCCAGCCACACACTGAACCAAGAAAACTCCCACTCCTCCCGTGACACACCCAATGGAACACAATGATTTACAAGGGAAATTTTACTAACAAGCAAAGTAAATAAAACAACTCACAAGAGATTTCCTTTGGAGCTGAAAATACAAACACAGATGATCTTTTCTGATTACATATTTCTGAGACAGTGTGGACACTGAACAGCCATTTGAAAATTGAAGCAATACCTACATTAACAGAACAAGGAGGTTCCAGTACTTGAGTATAAGAAAACAGATAACTTAGGACAGGACATATTCTGAATCACTTTTTGGAAAGGCTTTGTTTATACATGGAGAGAAGTTAACCTTTTTCCAATAAGTGAGAGAGAATATTAAGATAAATCACTTTCTCACCACTATAATCAATGCCGAATCACATGGTATTACCTTGTTAATATTGGCATGCGACAACTGAGTATTGTTCTAAATATCTGTTTGTATTTAGTGGCATAAAATTGAGTCATTTTGAAATAAAAACTTACTTCAAAAGGTAGGTAGGTTTTTTTTGTTTGTTTGTTTGTTTTCTTTTGCTATAATTCAAATAGTAATGTACATGAATGCTTCTTTTTACTACCTTTATAATATTATAATACTGTTCCCATAAGACAAACTTAGTTTTCCAATATAGAGTGATGGAGCTAATACTTCCAGGCAACTAAAACTTTAAAAAATTCCAACACTTCAAATAAGAAAAAGAATGTAGGTCAGGTCAGTGTTTTCCAAACTGTATTTAGGACACGAAATTATTACAGTGGGTCATGATCTTTTTTTTTTTAAGAAAAAAGCGAGCGAAGAGAAAATATCACAATTATCATAGTGTATCTAAAATAGCAAGGTAAGTTTTATTTCACTGAACTTTGTGTCAGGAGATTTTGAGTACGACATAAAATATTTTCTTACTGTACTTTGATCAAAATTATTTGAAAAACATGGTTCTAGGTCCACCTTCCCCAGGGTTTTGAATTTTAAGTTAAAATGAAAATTATGCCCAGAATGAACAGCTATTATTCATTAGAATCTTTTTGCACATGTTTAATTTTCTTTTATCATTTATGCCTAGTTAAAAGTAACGCATAAATATGTACTACTCATAAATCAGTAACTGCTGTCCTAAAGAAAGTGATATAGTGGGATAAAATCAAGGCATTTTGAAATAAAAACTTATTTCAAAATGTAGGTAGGGTTTTTTGTTGTTGTTGTTGTTGTTTGTTTGTTTGTTTTTGGCTATCCATCAGAAAAAGCTGATGTTGCAACTTGGAAAATATTTTTATGGTAAGATAACCCACTCCATAAATCCAAGACTATTGAGTTTAACTGAATTTTGTAATTGAAGTCTACTGTTGATTACTAATGAGACTCTTGAAGACAGTAATCACAAGTTGGAAAGATAGATGCAAAGACAGGGTGAACAACATATTAAACATTCTTTTACTTGTAAGATGTATTTAATATTTTAAATTAATCCCCAAAGAACAGTGTTGACCAAGATGGGAAAAAAAGGTTTTTGATCCAACTGGGTTACGTTCATCCTGGACCATGGAACTTACTAAATAAAAACCAAGTTACCAGTATATATTACCAGTATCTGAGAGTCTCTATATTACCTTCTCAGTGCACTACTTTATGTGTGTACACCAAAATCTTATCACTGGTTATTTTTCTTTTCTAGATTTTCTGCATTTTCTAAATTCTTTCAATCAAAATATTTAACCAAAGGAGAAATGGACTGACATTCTTCAATGCTCATGCTGATAAGAGTAGAGTAGCTGTGATACAGATACATTTCCCTTTGTTAAAGCAAACATTAGAATCTTGAGTTAACTGTTTTCTCAGTGTTGCCACTTTACTGAATTATTTAGACATTTAATTGAATTTGATAAAATACATTAAAAGACAGAGGAAATTATCTCCTATGGTTTCCATATGTACTTGTAGATTGAATGAATGAATATAAAATATAACTTTTTAAAATGGTTGAATTTTCTTTTTTTCCTCAACTAATCTTTCTCAAATTGAGCACTTAGTTTCCACTGTGCAGGTATGTTTTTGTGTGTGTATGTGTGTGTGTGTATGTGTGTATATATATAAAATGCTTGAAGCAGTAAGGTATTTGTACTGGATTATACAATACTATGGAAATCTTTAGATTTCATATCATTTTCAATTAATTTGCACAGATTCTTGGCTAAATTGACAAAAAAAACTTCAGTCCATTTTTATCATCTTTAAGCAAATCTATTAAGGTGAATTAATTGTCATGTATTGGATTCCCTTGTTCATTCTATCTTAATTTTCAAAATAAACACCGCTTAAATTAGGTGAGAGCATCCTGGAGTACTAAATTATACCAAATCAAATTAATACATGTTTATTGACCACTAGGGTTAGTATCTTATTCTTTCAAATATATTGGCTCCTGTTACATGGAAACCTACCAACAAATTGGGTCTGCTTAGAGACTGCAAGGAGAGAGGCCTTCATACTAATATTTTTATGTTTAGTCATCAGAAAATAATCACTAATCATAACAATATAATGTGGGAGTTTTTCAACTGTGGCAAACATTTGCTTTTGTTTTTGTTTTTTCTGTTTTTCTGGTCTCTCCAGATATTTTCGATTTGCTGTAAATCTCCCTAGGTATACTTGTAAAAGAATGCAGTGATAAAATATGACTAGACATTCAAGGAAAAAGCAAAACTAATAAGCAGAAATGGAGAAAGTGAATATCTAGGTATTTCCCAATAGCTTTTGAGTTCACTAATTTAGGCGCATCTCTGACATAACAGTTCCTTGTGGCTTCCTCGAATCCTTTCCAGCAATAGATCATACATTCGGGCCATACACAAACATAAAGCCTATTTTACAAGAAAATATGTGTTCTATATCAGGGGATATTCTGTTAGTTCAAAGGGGTCAGAGTATTGAACTCAACAAATATGGGAGCGCACTTCTTACAGGTAGTATTCTATAGGCTAGAGACAGAAGAAAAAGGAGCACGGAGTCTAGAGGGGAAATGAGAGGGACAAAAATCATAGTGTGTTCGAAACTGTGTCAGGGATATGCATGGGGTGCCATGAGTGTATATGGCATATTCAGAAATCAGAGTCCATGGTCACCCAATTAAGCTCTCTGTCATGACTCCTTTCAGTATCTGTTACATCTGTACTAAGTGTTCAGTAAATGTTAGTTTTCTCCATATCTCCCATTTCTAAGTAGTTCTTCACTATATATATATATCCATACACATACACACACACACACACACACACACACATATATACGTAGTATGACTGTTGCAAAGACTATCCCAAGAAAAATAGATGAAAACAGTTACTATTTATCAGTCCAATATTGAGACTAATTTTTCTTTGTTTATAACATCTCAATTTACAATATCACCTTTCTTTGTACTGTATTTATCAAAGAACATTCCAAGGTTGTGAAGTCTATTCAAATAACAAGAATATTACCTAAGCTTCCACTTGTCATATCACTACAAAGCCAAATTTAAAATTATCCTATTTTTGGCTAAGCCAGTCTTCCATCAGTTGATACACAAATCTTGTCATTCTACCTCATATTCGCTTTTATTTTCTTTTCCAACCATTCGCATAATTTTAGCAAGATCATTTTGAAGTTCTGATTCCAGCAGTGTAATATTCCATAAAGTTAAAATTTGTATAATCCTGTTACTAATAGTAAAAGGTACATGAATGTTCATAAAGAGAAAATATACCAGATACCATCGTGTTTTTAAAATAAACATTCTTTGTTTTCGAATATAAATTATTCACTTAAAAGAACAGCAATTTCTCTATTAAAATAAACTAACATTGGTAAGGAATAGATTTTGCTTTTCCAATCTCAACCAACTTTCTCCTTCACCTATGCCTTGCTCTCTCAGCAACTTTCCAATTCAACTTGGAAAGTTCAATTTTCTTATTCAATCAGCACACACTGCAACCAAGTAAGTTTCTTGAAGACCTGAATTAGAACCTAATCCTGAGAATGTAACACCAGCAAAACCAAACCAAACTCCACATTAGCTTTGGAAATGGCAATCGAAGTTTCAGGAACAAATTTCAAATAGGCTTCACTGACCTGAGGAAATATCGATTTGACTCATCTTGGTCTGTGTGATGTTGATGTGAACACCCACTTTGCTTTCAGTGAGGTCAATCTCCACATTGCCCAAATTATCCGCAAAGTGACTGAAGACCAGGAGACCGTTGGGGTTCCATGTCCTAAACTGGAAACTGACTGAGAACAGGTCCTGGTTAAGCCGTCCGGGTACCTCCAGGTAACTTGTAGCATTGAAAAAGACAGGCACTGTATAGGGTTCCACACAAGAGAAGCTCAAATTTCCCTGTAAAATAGAAAGACAGGCTCTGAGGAAAACACAGAATGAAATAAACATCCATGTAAGACCATTGATGAAGGTATAGTTCTACAAGTTTTGAAGCACAGCCCGAGCCTAAGTGAAATTCACATGCAGCAGCAGTGCATAGATTCAGTGACTGGATGCACCACCATGGATCTACTTGGAGTGTAAGACCTACTATTGAGCAGCAGTTGGCTGTCTATAACAAGCAGCTTCCACCATGGGATTGACAGCCAGACAGCCTGCTGTGATAGGCTGACGATGAGTTGTAAAGTGTGTATATGTGTTGTGGGTGTGAGTGTGAATCACGAGACTTTCTGAAGATAGCAAAGCTGCTGCTGGCCAAACAAGTCAGGTAGAGAGATGCTATGCCCTATTCTGGGCAGTAAATGCTGACATTAATTAACATAGTACTCTGGTCTCAGTGGGGACTATGGTCATATGTTTGTAATTTATGAAACTGATATTTTAGGGAAAATATTTTTGGATTGTTATCTATATACCTTGTATGTACATATATACATAGATAGATATTAAGTTTTCAGCATTAATGTAATTGTGGTTATTGGAGATTATTTTATTATCCAACTCAAAATTCCATTTAAATTCCCATGAAATGTGCTTATATTACAATGCATTAATTCTTGTGGAACTAGCAGTATAAATCGGCTAAATGGAAACAAATCTTGCAATAATTCAGGCTTTCCCCTTCTCTTCTATAACCTCCTTCTTGGTATAAACAAACAAACAAACAAACAAAAAACAAAAAAAGCTTTATCATTCAGTTACACTAAATTTTATATTTCAGTGCCTAACTACATTCCCTTTACAGATCTAAAAATCTGTATTTGCTTCTAACTTCTTTTATCCTATCATAATATTTTAAGGAATGTAATTGGATGATATTTTCATTGTCTCTCTCTCTCTCTCTCTCTCTCTCTCTCTCCCCCCATATATATATATATGTATTTTTTTAACAACACCTCATATATATATATATATATATATATATATATATATATATATATATATATACCAGATGCTGATGTCTTCCATTTTAGCACATTAACCATTAAATCTAAGGCAGGCTGTCTCTCTGAATTAATATTCAAATTAAATTTGCTCTGTACGTTCACAGATGATTATTTTTAAATGCTTGCTTTTACTGATGAAAAGAACTGCCTATGCATAATAACTGAGATTTTATAACTGACCACATACTTCTTTTGAGGGGATTGTCTCCCTAGCAAAATTAAAGATCCTGCCAGAGTAATGGTGCTGACTCTGGAGTCAGTGCATAGTGAGGGAATGAGTGTGCTTGGGAGAAGAGGAGGTAGAATGAGCGCTGAGTCAGTTTCATTGAAATATCAGCACCCAACATCTTTGAAAGTAAATTTCTTATATAAACACTTGCCTTTGTAGGGTTGCTTGCAAACTGTCCTATTCGTCTCTATCCCATCTAAGATTTTCTGTATTGTTAAAATAAAATGTAATTATAGAGCATAATCAAACTCACATATTGTGAATTCATAATCTTTTTTTATTCTTTTATTTTTGGGGGGACAGAGTCTCAGTCTGTTGCCCAGGCTGGAGTGTAGTAGTTCAATCATGGCTCACTGCAGCCTAAAAGTTCTGGGCTCAAGTGATCCTCCTACCTCAGCTTCTCAAGTAGCTGGGGCCACATGCATGCACCACCATGCCCAGCTAATTTTTAATTCAATTTAATTTATTTTTTGAATTTTAATTTTCTTAACTTGTTCTAGAGACATGGTCTCACTATGTTGCCCAGGCTGGTCTCAAACTCCCGGACTCCAGTGATCCTCCTGCCTTGGCTTCCCAAAGTGTTGGGATTACAGGAGCAACCCACCATGCCCGGCTATAAATCTGTAATTTATATCTCCTACTCATAAAATAAAATAAAAGCTATTTTTCTCATAAAATGAGGTTTTTTTCCATGGTTTTTTTGTTTGTTTGTTTGTTTGTTTTTTGAGACGGAGTCTCACTCTGTCCCTCTTGCTGGAGTGCAGTGGCCGGATCTCAGCTCACTGCAAGCTCCGCCTCCCGAGTTCAGGCCATTCTCCTGCCTCAGCCTCCCGAGTAGCTGGGACTACAGGCGCCCGCCACCTCGCCCGGCTAGTTTTTTTGTATTTTTTAGTAGAGACGGGGTTTCACTGTGTTAGCCAGGATGGTCTCGATCTCCTGACCTCGTGATCCACCCGTCTCGGCCTCCCAAAGTGCTGGGATTACAGGCTTGAGCCACCGCGCCTGGCCTTTTTCCATGTTAAACCTCAATGTTTTCATCTACAAAATGTTTGTATCCTTCTTGTAGTATTGTTCTCAGATCATCCTAAATGTAAAATATAACTTGCCTAGCACACTACCTGTTGCCTATAAATGGAGCTATTATCATTTTTCCATGTAGTCAATATACTTTATGAGAAAATTTAATCAAAGTTCAAGTTTTAATTTCTAGTATAAATTTATGATTACTTTAAGGAAATTATTTATTAAATAATCATTTGCCTTAAGTTATTGTTTTAAACTTTCTCATATCCAACCCAAACTGTTTATTTGTTCAGGGATTTTCACTTGTCAAGTCATTTGATGAAACCCTAGGCTCAAATCTGAGGCAATGAGACCATCAGAGCTCTTTTAGAGCGGAGTGCAAACACTCATGACATTATTCTACTTCTAGTGCATAATATCTTCTTATTGTATGGGTCTCTGGAATTCTAGGCTCTCCCAAATAGGCTCTCTGGGCTAAAGCAGCTCCTGGTCTTGCAGAGCCATAGGGAACTCTCATACTAAAATTGTAAACTAAGTATCTTTTAGGGATGTTGAGTAGTGTCGTTCGGAGGCAGGTGTGCTGGGGCTTTCTTTGACTTTTGCTCTCCTTCCAAAATCTAATGAAACCTGGCACCAACTCACATAAGAGGCAGACAAAAATCACAGTGAACTTCTGTGGCACAACTTTTGCTATGCAGTGGAAATCAAGCTTTATTTAATTGTATAATATGTAGTCTGGTTAGAGATTTGTTAAAAAAGGTATTTATTTACATATTCGAACAAATCAGCTTTGGAAGCACAGGAGTAAATATAATAAAGTCCCTGATTAAAAAACTTTAAAAATATTAAATTAAACCATAAGCAAGTAACTTAGAGCATATGTGATGAGATATTTGAAAACATGATGCTGCCGGTTTAAGGGCTGCTAACTGCTGGGATGAAGCATGTGCTGAAGTGTATCTGTTCTCCTGCCACAAGTCATCCAGAAATATTGAGTCTAACGTTCTGTGCTCCATGGGAATAAAACCTACCACCTACTAAGGGCTCCTCCCATTTTCTATTCTCAAAGAATAGCAAGTATCTACACTATTTCTGAAAACTCCAATGTTTGTTTTACATCATTGTGCCCAACATAAATATGATGAAAAATGTCATGATTTTGTTGTTGTTCAATACTCCAAAAAACAAAAAAAGTTACTTGATTTTTTATAGACCAATATTTTGAGGATGAAAATTCTTACCACATTTGAGGGCTCTAATTTCTTCCTTCTGGCAAGATCAGTAATGTTGATGCCGTTGTAGTTGATGCTTTCCATGCAGCCTTTGAAATTCTTTCTACCGCTGGAACTGGGCTTGCCAGAAAAAGGGATGCCTCCAAAGGTTATCTTTGAGAAAAAGAAATTAAATGTAAACATCCACATTGTGTTGTGATAAACTAGACAAAACTATGAATACAGTCAAGGTCAAGTAGCTATACCCCAATCAAAATATACAAATATTATAGCATTCTGCCTCCAAAATCCATGGCATATTAAATTACGTTGTTGATGAAGTGTCTAATGGAGTCATTCATTCTAATAATTAGATTATAACTTGAACAAAAAAATAGTAATGATCCTTTGCAATTTTGCTGCCCCAGAGGCATTTTATAACTTTTCTTGAGAATATTTAAAAGATTTTTTATTCAGCAAACTTCTTTTATCAAATAATATTAGAAATATATTTTTATGTTTATCATTCAAAGACATACTATCAATAAATGCCTCCAGTAAGCATGAGATAATCAGCACTAATTTAATAAGCTGATAAAACTGCAGCCCAAAGCAAGGGATATTGTATTTACCTTATGCAGACTTGTAGTCTAATGATCATTATTGTCAAAAATTCATTAGATTTATTTTGGATGTAGAAAATAGTTCAAAAAACATCATTACAATATTGATTAGGGACCACTTAGGATGTGGGAACTCAAAGGTGAACAGTGTGGGCTTAAAGATATTATAGGTCTTTTAAATCCTAAGAAATAAGACAGTACTACTTACTGTGTTCCTCTGTCTGCTACTGCTTATAGAAAGAAAATATCTATTTCTTACATATTTTTGATCAATACATATTATAGCATTAAATCTACATGACACAAAATTGCATTTAGTATTTGCGTGGTGAAGGATGATATTCACTATGAATAGTAAGTTAGTAGTAAATGAAGCCAACTGCTAAATATAATTATAATATCAATATATACGATACTTGTAATACATATCTTTTAAATTATCATACAGAATTACCATTATCTATTTTTTTTTTTGATTATCAGCTTCATTAAAATGCCGGAAAATATTCTGTGGTCCAACCACTTCATTTTCAATGAGAATATACAACTATAAAGAATCAATGACAGCCTAACATCCTATCATTGGTTACATTAGGGATTGGGGTTAGAACTCACTAAATTGTTAGGAATCTGTTAACTTGAGCCTGTGGTGCTTTTCCAGAGCACGTTTGATGGGGTGAAATGAAAGCAATGAAAATGAAACAATGAAGTGAAGACATTTTTAAAAATTGGGACTTCGCATTCAAAGCATCAGTCAAAGAGTCTGTGTTCTGGAAGGGTCCATAAACAAATTAGGTTCTATTATTTAGTGTTATGGCATCTTAAATGCTGAATTAGTTTTAGAGGGGGAAACACAAATTATGGTTTATGACGTGATGGTAAAAATAAACAAAGGCCTCATTTAAAATAAATTATTATTAATGGTTAGCTGAATATGTATTATTTGCCACAGAGCTCACGTATAAGAAGGTAAAAGGAAAATTGAGAAAAAATGTATCCCAAAGAATCAGAAAACTACAAAGAAGAAATAGAGAGTAATCTAAAGTAGAATTATTGGGGAAATGTTTTCAACTTGCACTGAAATGAACATATTAGGTACCACCTAAGTGTACCTAGCACCAAAGGCAATCATTTTTGATACTAAAATGGAGTACTATGTCTTCTGTTTACAATCTTTTTCATCAATTTTTCCCCAACTGACAGTAATAATATCATCAGTGTATAATATTATTAAACACATATTCCTCTGTGTGCATATTTCTTTAATTTGAACCTTTCACTTTCTTCAGGGGATTCAAATTATCCTTACAGTTTCTCTGCTTTCAGCAACTCTAGGCACCAGTCCAACTCATCAAGGTGCTCTGGAAAAGGAATGCAGGCTCAAGTTAAAAGATCCTAACAAGTAGTAAGTTCCGACCCCAATTCCTAAGGTAATTAATGATAGGATATTAGGTTGTCATTTATTCTTTCTAGTTATAGATTCTCACTGGTGGGCCGGGCACGGCGGCTCACGCCTGTAATCCCAGCACTTTGGGAGGCCGAGGCGGGTGGATCACCTGAGATCAGGAGTTCGAGACCAGCCTGATCAACATGGAGAAACCCCATCTCTACTAAAAATACAAAAGTAGCTGGGCTTGGTGGCACGTGCCTGTAACCCTAGCTACTTGAGAGGCTGAGACAGGAGAATAGCTTGAACCTGGGAGGCGGAGATTGTCCTGAGCTGAGATCCTGCCATTGCACTCCAGCCTGGGCATACAGAGAGACTCCGTCTCAAAACAAACAAACAAAAATACAAAAAAAATTCTCATTGGTAAAGTAAACTGGTTGGACCACAGAGTATTTTCTGACATTTTAATGAAGCTGATAGTAACAAATATTGTTGCAGTTGTCCGATTAATATTCAATTATTCCTGAGGCTCATATGATACAGTTATCAATGCTCTTGCCACTCACTAACCTTGCCTCTAAAGAAATAACTGCATTAACTATTTTGTTAGCTTTCAAGTGTTCACAAAGTGTGGCAGGGACTATCAGATACCTCTACGGATCCTTTCTTCCCACCCTCATTAGGGAAAAAACAATGCTTTTCAGCTGGGCACATTGCTCCCAGTCAGTATAATAAATTATCAACTTATTTGAAGCCAATTTTGGTCTCATGATATTTTAGTGGAAGGGCTGTATGTGATTTTAAGAACTGTCATTAAGAGGGGGAGGGCAGCCGGGCGCGGTGGCTCACGCCTGTAATCCCACCACTTTGGGAGGCCGAGACGGGCGGATCACGAGGTCAGGAGATCAAGACCATCTTGGCTAACACGGTGAAACCCCGTCTCTACTAAAAATACAAAAAACTAGCCGGGCGAGGTGGCGGGCGCCTGTAGTCTCAGCTACTTGGGAGGCTGAGGCAGGAGAATGGCGTAAACCTGAGAGGCGGAGCTTGCAGTGAGCTGAGATCCGGGCACTGCACTCCAGCCTGGGCGACAGAGCGAGACTCCGTCTCAAAAAAAAAAAAAAAAAAAAAAAAAAAAAAGGGGAGGGCACAGTCTTGCTTCTCTTCCTTCTTGCTAGCTGAAGTGCAAAGTGAAATGTTAGCAGTGGTCTTGGAGTGATTTGCAACAGGGATAGAGGAAGAGCAGGATGAAAAAGGACTGTGATCTTGAAGATTGTGGAGGGGCCATTTGAACCTAGAGCCATCTGCCTCCAGTATTCTTTTACATAAAGCAGAATAAATGTGCATCCATTAAACGTAGCCTATGTAATCTTAACTCACATATATTTTTTTCCATTACTTCCTGTTGCCTCCTCACATAACCCTATGTGAAGAATGCGATTAAATTCATTTCATCAAAGGGGAATATGAATTGTCCACTGTCACACAACCATTAAAGGGCAGAAACAGATTCCAACTCGGGCTTCTCCTCTGATTGATTTTCTTCCTGGCCAGTCTGTGGTTCTGCAATGGTCAAGAGAGACTCATTCCTCTACTTCCCTAGCAGAGCTGTATTGCGAAAGATAACGGCATAATATCCACAGTGGGTGTGCTCTGAAGAACAGAGAGAATCTAGGTCAAACACCATTTTGCTGCTCTGCCCTTTGTTTTTTATTGGCTCTGCTGAGGAAAAATGAAGTGAAGTGTACCTGTGTACCACCACACCAGTCTCGGGCCACCCTGTAGCTAGCAGACTGATTGCAGGTGACGATTGGCTCACTTCTGCAGTGTACGCAGCTACAAGAGGAGGGGATGAGACAAACTCTTAGGACTAGGTCACAAAAAACGTCCACATAGGCTGGGCGCGGTGACTTAAGCCTCTAATCCCAGCATTTTGGGAGGCCGAGGTGGGCAGATCACCGGGCCAAGAGATTGAGACCATCCTGTCCAACATAGTGAAACCCCGTCTCCACTAAAAATACAAAAATTAGGGCCAGGCGCAGTGGCTCATGCCTGTAATCCCAGCACTTTGGGAGGCCGAGGCGGGCGGATCACGAGGTCAGGAGATTGAGACCATCCTGGCTACCACGGTGAAACCCCGTCTCTACTAAAAATACAAAATATCAGCCAGGCGCAGGTGGCGGGCACCTGTAGTCCCGGTTACTCGGGAGGCTGAGCCAGAAGAATGACTTGAACCCAGGAGGCGGAGGTTGCAGTGAACCTGGATCACGCCATGACACTCCAGCCTGGTGATAGAGTGAGACTTCATCTCAAAAAAAAAAAAAAAAAAATCCACATAGAGTTACATCGAAGGAGTGAACTTGTATTCCATCACTTCTTTCATGATGTTCATCTCCAGGAATTGTGGTAAATATATTTAACTTACGCTAGCAGTGCTGTGCTGAATCCGCCTCAGACTGGTTCACAAGAACCAACTGTTAAGCAGAGCTATCATTAAAACTTCCACTACATAAGCTATAAATTAAATAAATTACATGAAACACAACATTCATAACGATTCAGAATTTATCTCTACACTTTACTTTCATATAAGTTCTTGAGGTCATTTACATTTATTGCAACTATATGATGGAAATATCATATAATTGTGTGCTGTTTGGCACCTCTTCCCAATTCCCGGCTCAGTTCCATATATGGTAGCATGAAATCAACCATGGTGGATTTGCCCCATGAAAACTAACAACTGCTATATATCAGGGCATTCCTCTGACCGTTCCTCCCTGGAAAGAACTGGTTGTTAAGCATCCACCAGCACACCCCTACCTTTGGGCCTCAATGCCTTTGTCGTTAGTGTACTCTGGAAGAATAAAGGCAGTATAATTTGGGGGAAGCAGGACATTGAGTCGTCAGGTTTTGTGAAGATAACAAGACCACCTTTGTCTTCCTTTAGGCCAAAGCCTTTAAATAGTTCAGTAATGAACATTATATAATTTGTATTATTTTAACTTTGAAGCTAATTTTCATGCAGTCTGTGAGGTTTGAGTGTAGTGAGTGTGTGGATATATCAAGGAGATAAGTGCAACAAAACTAGAGACTGACTCTACTCTAATATAGTCCCTGAGGTGTTTTTTTGTTGTTGTTTGTCTGTTTTTCGTTTTGTTTTGTTTTGTTTTTAAGATGGAGTTTCGCTCGTGTTGCCGAAGCTGGAATGCAATGGCATGATTTTGTCTCACTGAAACCTCCGCCTCCTGGGTTCAAGCGATTCTCCTGCCTCAGCCTCCCAAGTAGCTGGGATTACAGGCGCCCGCCACCATGCCCGGCTAATTTTTGTATTTTTAGTAGAGATGGGGGTTTCATCACATTGGCCAGGCTGGTCTTGAACTCCTGACCACAGGTGATCCACCCGCCTCAGCCTCCCAAAGTGCTGGGATTACAGGCGTGAGCCACCGTGCCTGGCCCAGTCCCTGAGGTTTTTTCTAAACAAATAAGCAAAGGGAGTCCCTTCCCATTAAGAGAAAAGTATAGCAATATAAAGGTAGGCACAGCCACTTTTATTACATTTCATGCCAATAATTGCGGTCTCTAAGGGGACAGTAATCTGACAGTAGCCAGAAATGTTAAGTCTACCCTGATTCTTTGTCAGTTAATTTAAATTTCTTACTAGTGATTTTGTCTAATAAGTAAGTCCTGGGTATTTTAATCTATCTCTGCAGCTCTCAAACATGGCAGTGTATATAGATGGGCTTCAAGGTGTCCATGAAACTGCTGATCGAATATAGAAAGTGTTATGTGTGCATGAATATTCATAGACTTCATCACACACTCAACAAGGTTTATGACCCCAAATTTTTAATTTCGTTTTTTGAAAATTAGAATTATATTTCCTCATTCCAAATGTTTCAGAATTTTCACCTCTTCTATGGTACTTCAAAGTTTATTAACGGAGGATGAATAATTCATCTTTAAGATCTCTCATACATTGGGAGATAAGTCACATGATCCAAGATACATACTAACTTAGAGAAGATAGAAATTTCTGGGATTTTCACATACATTTTCTTTTAACAATCAGTTTGCTTTTAAGAGATTTTTTTGGGGGGAGGGATACAATATTTTCCAATAACCTTAAATTCATTTAATGTTAATAAAGTCTCCATCAGTGTTTATATAGCATATTCTATTCTTAATTTTTTATTTAGGAATATATATCATATATTCATATTGCAAAAAAATAGAAACTATTTAAACATAAAGAAAATAGAAAACACAGCTATCAATCCTGTGTTTTCCATTTATTTTATGATAAGCATATTCCATATTCTTTTTTTTTTTTTTTTTTTTTGAGATGGAGTCTCGCTCTGTCGCCCAGGCTGGAGTGCAGTGGCCGGATCTCAGCTCACTGCAAGCTCCACCTCTCGGGTTCACACCGTTCTCCTGCCTCAGCCTCCTGAGGAGATGGGACCACAGGCGCTCGCCACCTCGCTCGGCTAGTTTTTTGTACTTTTTTAGTAGAGACGGGGTTTCACCATGTCAGCCAGGATGGTCTCGATTTCCTGACCTCGTGATCCGCCCGTCTCGGCCTCCCAAAGTGCTGGGATTACAGGCTTGAGCCACCGCGCCCAGCCGCATATTCCATATCATTAAAAAATTATACATAAATATACATAATACACACATATATACATGAATACACCCCCAATTTCAAAACTGGGGGCCAAGGAACATGAAGATGGTGCATAAAACTAATAGGGGTGCCATAGTATGTTTGAAATTTTTAAAGAAAACACAACAATATTTGACACCTTTTGGACATTGTGTGAAACTCTAGCTTAAAGTAGTTTACTGTTCCAGTATTAGATAATGTGTCATTCCTTTTAATTATGTGCTTTTTGGATTTGGTCATTACTCTGATTTAGACAGAGTATCATGTAAGTTAAAAGTGGAACAGAAAATTAGGATGCCAGTGGCAAATCTGATCCCCACTCTGATAAACATACATAGCATTCATCCCATTAGTAATAATCGCTGTTGTTTAAGAATGAAATAAAAATCTACTTTCACTTTTATTTTATGTTTATTTCTCGAAATGGCTACCAAAGTCTCAGGACGTAAATTGTTAAGTTGTTTGGACCTAACGGCTCAGGACTGCTGAGGAAAAAAGTTCAAAGACACTAAGGGCTATGTGAACAAAGAAAGTGTGGAAACTTCCAGCTAAGTAATAGCATTGCATCCCTTTTATTTTACCATTCTGCTGCTTTTGTATGTCTAGTGTTATCCTTTTCTCCTAGGATGTATAATACTGTGACAAACATCTTTTTTTCTTTTTTCTTTTCTTTTTTCTTTTTTCTTTTTTTTTTTTTTTTTGAGGCGGAGTTTCACTCTGTTGCCCAGGCTGGAGTGCAGGGGCACATCTTGGCTCAGTGCCACCTCCACTTCCCGGGTTCAAGCAATTCTCCTGCCTCAGCCTCCTGAGTAGCTGGGATTACAGGCGCGTGCCACCACACCTGGCTAATTTTTGTATTTTTAGTAGAGACGGAGTTTCACCACGTTGGTCAGGCTGGTCTCGAACTCCTGACCCTGTGATCCACCCGCATCAGCCTCCCAAAGTGATGAGATTACAGGCATGAGCCACCGTGCCTGGCTGACAAACATCTTAAAGAGCTCACCTACATATATGATTAACAGTTTTAATGGATATTTTAAGGTTGAATTGCTCTCCAAATAATTTAAAAATATGATATACCTACTCTTAAGCTATGGGAATATATTTTTATTTATATAAACATGATCAATGATTATTTTTAATCTCTAATTATTGAGAAGATAATATATGTCTTTTTGTTCATAGACAATCGTTTTAAAATAGTCTATATTTTACTTTATTGCTTTGTGATATTGATTCTGAGAAAACAGAGCTTGACAAAAGACCCATCTACAGTCATGTGTTTCTAAATGACTTAATATAAACCAGAAACTAGGATTTCTTATTCAATACTTTATAATAAATATTAGACAACCCTCTGTATATAATGTACTTCACATTCTCAAGAATTGATAACATGATTAACTATAAATGAAAGGATTACAAATTAAATTTATTCTGAATTTATTAAATTACCTAGATAGCACAGTCCCTCTCTTCAAATTATTACTTTAGTACTAAGATTTGTATAATATTTTGAGTATTCATGATTATAAATTTAGAAATAAAATGAAACAAATTAATTCGGTTTTTAAAATTGTCAGTGTCTTTTTGTTTAGAGAAGAAAATAAAAATGGTGTAAGTCGTAATATAGTTAACAATAATACAGTACAGTAGGAGAGTGACGCAGTTGCCCGACGTTTTATCACAATTTCTACGCCATCATGTGTACCTCGTAGTCCAAGTCCAGGTAGTCAAACTCTCCGTTGGTGCGGAAGTGCTGCATGCTCCTGTCCAGCGTGAGGTTAATGCTCCGCCCCTGGCGCTCAATGACCACGGAGTGCCAGTGGTGGTCATCCAGCAAACTTCCGGTCATCACTGATGTGTGGCCATATATGGGGCCAAGCTGGTTGCTTCCTGCGTACACAGGAGTGAAAAAGAAACAACGCAATGACACTCTGGCCAACACTGTGAAGCAGAAGGTCTTTCATTTACTGCCCCTAGAGGCTGACATTGCATCAAAGCTCTATCCATTTGAGTTAACCTGGGATACCAGTAAGTAATGACACTTAAAAATACTTTATGTTCAAAGTACATACAAGTTATTAAAGATGGAAAAAAAGTACTTTTTTAAAAAGGGGGAAAATGAGTGTTTTATGACTGTGCAATGAATTCTGCTAAATTTTGGTAGGTTTGTTATAAAGTCAGTGTCACGTGGGCTTTTACACAAGTCTGCTGGGTTCTGATGCTGGCTCCACTGTTAGCTTGGGGTCCAGGGCAAGTTGAGAATGCTTGGTCTCCATTTTCTCATATATACAATAGGGAAGATAATAGTACCTGCTTTGTAAGGTTGCTTGAGGATTAAATGAGTTACTATAGGCAAAGAATTTAATACACTTTCTGGCATATAGTGAACATAACTGTTACCTGTTAATCTTTTATTACTGTTATAATTATTATTAAGACCACACAGCGTGACCATTTTTAATTTTTGTTGACTCCAAAAGCCATTGTTGTAAAGAGAACACTATGTGATTGTTAATGGCATAGAAAATTTACTTCTTTTTAATTAAAATGATAACATTAAGAATTATATATGTAGTATTTCGTTTTGAAATAAGATCTCCATAGCAACACAACTATAAATACAAGTAAAAGATTGTTAGAATCCAACATGTTTATTAAGGTCGCCCCTGGATACAGTTTACATATTTTGTTTCATCTATGTTGTCTAACACGTATTGCTTTTTATGGTGAGGCAAAATTAATCACTATAAAAATATAATAGGATTTCAGAATAAATAACATAATGGAAATAAGAGATAAACAATTGACTGTCACATTAAATTCTTCCTTTCCTTTCCTTTCCTTTCCTTTGTCCTTTCCCCTTTCCTTTCCCCTTTCCTTTCCTTTCTTTTCCTTTCCTCCTTCCTTCCTTCCTTCCTTCCTTCCTTCCTTCCTTCCTTCCTTCCTATCTTTCTTTCCTCTCTTCCTTTCCTTTGCCTCCCTCCCTCCCTTCCTTCCTTCCTTCCTTCCTTCCTTCCTTCCTTCCTTGTCCTTCCTTCCCTCTCTCCCTCTTCCTTCTTTCCTTCCTTTCTCCCTTTGTATGCTAATGCCCCCATACCTCACATTTTCTATTATCTTCCTAGAACATCTTTTCTTCATTTATGGTGATGAAATAAAATGTTGATGTGTGATGGTAAATCAGTGTATATGTGTAAAATGAAACAAGGAAAAGGAGAGGGAAAAGAGGAGGAAGAGGAAGAGAAAGAAAGAAAATTCAGAACTATCTTAGTGAAAAGGTCACATTGAGTTTTATTTAAATATTTACACTAGAAGACTGAGCAGCAGGCAGATACATCTAATATTTAGGTAACCGCATTAAAGAATGGCAGTAGATATTTGAGTGCATATTTCTCTCTGGCTGTTGTAAATTCCAGTCAGTCAGTAAACTGCTTTCCAGTGTAAAGCTAATAAACTTTTTTTGGTAAGGTCACATAGTTATTTCTTTGAAAACAGTAATGTCACACCACTATAAGACACAGTTGATTTTAAAAGGTTACTCTACATGTTTCGTTTGGGATAAAAAATGAAAAGTTTGAAAAAATAAACATCTTTAGATATAATTCAACTGCAATTTAAGTCCAAATATGTAATTTGAAACATTAATTACAATGTCAAAAATTGGGAAAAAACTAAACACACAGAAATATGTTGATAGCATTTAAAATGTCTGTGCTAACTTTTAATTGTATGGGGAGATATTATATAATATTAAACAATATTTTAATGTGTGCACACACATGTGCATGTGTGCATATTTTGTGTGCATGTTTTATGGAAGTACACATATTTTGTTTCTGGTTACTCTCCCCCCTCTTCCTTCTTTTCCTCTATTGGGTTTTGTTTTAAAAATAATTTCAGGCTATTTTCCCCCGGTAGCACAATGAACACACGTTCCTTATTACAAGTAGAGAATATTATGAAGAAACAAGTGAAATGTAATGTAAAAATATTTCCACCTCTAAAAATAATTTGGTCTATTTCCTTCCATATATTTTCCACAAACAGTCATGTACCACATGATGACATTTCTTTCAATGATGGACTTCATATGTAATGGTGGTAACATCAAATTTAATACTGTATTTTCATTGTATCCATTGGATTTTTTGACATGCAAATACTTACCAGTTTTTTACACAGTGGACTAAAGTATTCTGTACAGTAACATGCTATACAGATTTGTACACTAGGAGCAATAGGCTCTACCATATAGCCTAGGTGTGTAGTAAGCTACACAATTTATGTTTGTCTTTGTATACTCTTGTGTTTACAAAGTGTTGAAACTCACACAGAATTTCTCAGAATGCATCCTCATTTTAAAGTGACACATGACTACATATATTTAATTAGATTGATAGATTTTATATCCTACAGGTTTTGTTTAATATTATATAATATCTCCTCATACAATTAAAAGTTAGCACAGACATTTTAAATGCTATCAACATATTTCTATGTGTTTATTTTTTTCCCAATTTTTGACATTGTAATTAATGTTGCAAATTACATATTTGGACTTAAATCCTAGTGGTTATTTCTCTTTTTACCTTATGATTTTTGGACCAAAATACTGTATTGTAAGAGATTTCAAATGTCCAAAGACATATTGTCTAGTTATTTTCCTGAAAATATTTTCTGACTTGCAGAACAATACAGAGGATCCTTTTTGTCAAATACTCACCAACACTGATATATCACTTTAAAATGTATTTACTTAGTTGACCAAAAATAAGCATTGGGTGTTTATATTTTTTTCTTTTATGACTTATCTTGTATATCATTGGCCTCTATTTTCTCCTAATGTCTTGGCATTATTATGTAGTGGTATAATTTCTTATTCATGATTGATACTAAACCAGTATATTTGACATTTGTATCTTCCCAGGTTTTGCATGCATTTTAATGTTACTTTTATTTTAATGTAAAAAATAACATTTTATGTAACTAAGTGATACAGAATTTTGTGTGACTTTTCTTCTTTGTTATAGAAGCTATTGTGTCTATCGGATCAGATCTTTAATGTCAAAAGTTTTATAATCAAGGGTACATCTTTAAGGTAATGTATCATTACCAATAAAAATAACCTGAGTGGAGTTGCAATTTTTAGTATAATACTGAATTTCAAAGTAATAAAAGTTAATACATGGGATACAAGTCATATTCAGGAATGTTTGGACCACTCAAATTGGTAATTGACAAATAAGTCAAATAGCCCAGAATTTTTAACTAGTCAAGAGAAACAGGTGAGATAGGGGCCAAGATGGCTGATTAGAAGCAGCTGAAGTCTGCAGCGCTCAAGGAGAGGAATGAAAGGAATGAATAAAGACAGCACTTTCAACTGAAATATTCAGCTTCTCACACTGAGATGGATTAGGGAAACAATTTCACACATGGAGAATGAAGAAAAGCAGGATGGGGCTACGGCCTACCCAGGAGCAACACGGAGCCAAGGGAACCCCCAACCCCTGCCAAGGGAAGCAGTGAGTGACCACGTGACCCCAAGAAACCATGCTTCTCCTGTGGATACTTGCAACTCACAGATTAGGAGATCTCCTTGTGAGCCCATGACACCAGAGCCTTGGGCCTGACACACAGAGCTGTGTGGAGTCTTGGCAGAGCAACCGCTCAACCATGCAGAGAGACAGAGTGGAGCTTTACAAACTCCACCCTGGGATTTCCAACAAAGGTGTCTGTAACTCAGACAAGGTGGGAGGTCTGCACATACCCCTAGGAAGGGGGCAGAATCCAGGGAGCCGAGTAGCACTGTTCTGCGGGCCCTATTTCCATGGCACCCTACAAGATAAGACCCACTGGCTTGGAATTTCAGCCAGCCACTGGCAAGAGGGCAAAGCCTGCCTGAGACCAGACGGAACCTTGAGGGGAGGTACAGACACCATCTCTGCTATTTGGTCGACTGGGCCATTCTAGCCTGTGGGCTGTGGAGAGTCCAAAGGGTCCAGATGAGGAGGAAGGGTTCCCCGAAGCGTAACACAGTGGCTTTGCCAGATCATGGTCAGACTGCTTCTTTAAGCAGAGCCCTGATCCATTCCTCCTACTGGGTGGGACCTCCCAGCTGGGGCCCTCCAGCCACGCCTGCCTGTATGACAGAGCTATTTTCTATCCCTGGGATGGGGTGACCAAGGGAAGGGAGGGTCACCACCTGGGTATGTTGGACGATTCAGTCATTCCACAGCCTGTGGGCTTTGGAGAGTCCAAGCTGATGGGGAAAAAGGCCGTTCCCCACCACAACACAGCTGCTTTGTGAAGGCATGGCCAGACTGCTTCTTTAAGTGCCCCATCCCCCCATCCACTCCCTCACAGGGCAGGTCCTCCCAGCTGTGGCCTCTGGCCACCCTTGCCTCTGTTCTCCATGGGACAAAGTGCCTGAGGGGTGGGGCAGGTCACCAACTTGGACATTCAGGCTTCTCAGCGAGTCCAGCCTATGGGCCTTGGAGAGTCCAAACCGATTAGAGGCTGAAGAAATCTCCAATACAGCACACAGCAGGTCTATTGAAAAGCAGCCAGACTGCTTTTTAAAGTTGATCCCTGATCTCATTTCTCCTGAGTGAGACCTCCCAACAGGGTTCTCCAGCCACGTCTCCAGGCACATTTGGGCCAACAATAGGTCAGTATATCCCTAGGATGAAACTTCTAGGGAAAGGAGCAGGCTGCCATTTTGCTGTCCTGCAGCCTTCATTGATAATATTATACCTCTAGTTCCAGGAAAAATTGAAGCAACTAGGGTCTGGAGTGGACTCCCAGCAAATCACAATAGCCCTATGGATGAGTGGCCAGACTTCAATAGGGCTATTTAAAAAAGCAAACAAACAGAAAACAACAACAACAAATCC